CCTGCTTGTGCGAATCAAGATAAAGCACATGGAGCTCTCAATAATCCGGCGGGAGACGACGGGTTCTCCACCGAATCAGTACAATGAGAGCGAGACGATTACGAAGTTCGAGATTATGGACGGGGCGCCCGTGCGCGGTGCGTGTTGCTGCCAATACTCCGCACCCTCGCTCACACCGCTTCCATATAGGTGAGACGATCCCCATCCGACTGTTCCTCGGCGGCTTCGACCTCACGCCCACCTTCCGCGACATCAACAAGAAGTTCAGCACGCGGTATTACTTGAATCTGGTACTCATCGACGAGGAGAATCGGCGGTACTTCAAGCAGCAGGTAAGCCTCCTCCCCGTGTTTCATCTCCCGTCCGCTAATAATACTGCCGCCTTTCGCAGGAAATCACGATTATCAGGATACCAGAGGTACATACGCGTCCTTCTTTCCGTTTTACACAGCCTAATATGTCCCTCTTCCGCAGAACTAATTGCGTCGTCGTCATGGTCTCGCTCTCACTCCTCTTCGCGTGCCCTGTATTATATGGATATTTTTCAATTTACTATAATACTCTTTTCTGGACGCGCTGTCGGACCGGGACTGTTCGCTTCCGCTTCCACTGCGCTCGACCCACTTTCCGTTCCGGCCGAAAGTACATTCAAAGCGAAACTTGCCGTTTCAATATATATAGGACTCTATATAGAACTCTCGTCGGGTACTCGACATAACTCCTGGACTCTATTGCGGAAATGAAGTGGCGCCGAGCGTTTTCATTGGTTATCTGCGGTCCATCCGCCGGTCGCACTGATCTTGCGAAGAGACGATGGAACTGTGTCTAGGGAGATCCATCACGCCGAGTTGCAGTGCAGCTTCGGTGTCAATCTGCTGATTCGGCCGTGATTATGTGCATAGGCGCGGCGGGGATGGTCCAGCGGGATCTCTGCGCTATGGATGTCAGTGCAGGGTGCAATTCTTTGCAAGCTAAATCGAATGAGTGAAGGTAATTTTGGGATTTTCCGATGGGGATGTCACGGCGAGGACATTGATATTCTGTCTTCGACGTTTGTATCCTTTTCGTCAAAATTGAACGTGTGGCGCGCCGCGCAGAAAACATATCCACGGCCGAGATTCTCCACGGCCGAAGTTGCAATTCCACGATCCACGCGTATTACAACTTTGGTGGTGTTCACCGTTTCAATGATACCGACGAACCACAACGGGTTTCTCGGGTGCGTTCTGACGGCGCGACGATATGATACGAGATAACGCGGATTCACGGCCGCGGCCGACGAAGTCAAGTCCATACGCATGTTTCTGTCGTTTGGCAGATAAAAAAAAAAGATGGAGGACTTGGCATGGCGGATTGGCGGATGAGCATGCGCAGGAAGACGTAAAAATTGAAATGAAATGAATGCATTGGTGATTGGCAGCACCTGGGATCACAAGCGGGGTATGTACGGCCGGGATCCAGTCTGGGGCTTTGGCAGAGCGGTGCCGCGGATTCAGATCAGCGAGCACGGTCAAGCAAAGAGCACGAGCATCTCGTCGGCGACGCGCCACTCGGCGCGTGCCCCGTCCACATCTAGCGCGCGCTCGCGCTTGAGCTTGAGCGCGGCGTCGCCCCCGCCGCGCGCGACGATCTCGGCGTCGGAGAGCGCGAGGTCGATGTCCAGGGGTGCGTACACGTCCGCGTTTGGTGTGGAGAGGAGGAGGCGCCGGGCTTCGAGCTCAAGGGTCGTCTGGGCGACGATGGCGGGGGTCTGTGCGATATTGTACGAGGGAATTGCGTTATTGATTGGTGGAATAGATTGATTGGAGTGCATTGTACGTGGAGAGAGAGAGATTACATTATTAGCGATGTGGGTGGGTGAGAGAGACGGACGGTGGCGCACGTACGAGGTGAGGGAGCGCGATGGTTATCTCAAGGGTGCCGGACTGTGTCTTGGCGTAGCTCCACGTCGGCCGAGAGCCTGGTTTCAAGGAAGAGGGTGGTGGTGGTTGCGCGGGGGTAGCATTTTCGGACTTTAGGATCCCTTTTTTGGGTGCGGAGCCGGACTTAGGCGTAGCGACGGATGGGGTCGCGACTTCTTCGATTAGAGGCTTTTTTGGGGCGCCAGGGGATGTCGGCAGGAAGGACGGAATGAGGACCGTACGCGGGAGGAGCTTGCCTTTGGAGGCGATATTGGGGGTGGAGATTTGGCGGGAGAGGACGAGCGAGGTTTGGGCTTCTACGCGTTGGAGCGCGAGTTCTGGGTGCGGCGTGTGAGGACGGCAGTGAGTCTATTTGGGTAATTAGGACTAGACTAGCCTTGGATAAAGGCCCTGAAGGGGGCATCCCGGACGGAGCGTGACCGGAGGGTGGAGTTGAATATGCAGTCGAATACGAGGGATGGGTTTCCGGCTGGCGAAGGCGTGTCAGGTTTAGGGTGACAGGGATTGCGGTGCGGGCCACCCGAGCAAGGGAACGGGGCCAGATACGGAGTTGATACAGACCTTTATCTGTGTCCTGTTTGGCGTCGGACACGATGACGGGAACAAACCAGGCATCGGGGTTGAGATCTTCGGGTTCGTCCTGTCCGAGCATTGCGCGCTGGATGGCCTCCTCATTTCCCTCTGGGGGAGGGGGCACGTTTGGATCCCAGGCGATGTTGACAAAGACCTTGCGCCCATTTGGGACCGAGACGGAGCTGCGCTCTGGCTCGAGCAGATTTTTTGGCGGGGGTGCGGCGGCTGGGACCAGCTTGACGATGCCCGCCTGGCATTTTGTTTTCAAACAGAACCCAGCGGAAGGCTTGAGTTGGACAGTGACTGACATTTGCGGTACTGGGCACAGCCACCTGCTAATTTTTTTGTGATACATACGCCACACCGGCTTCTCCTTCAGAAACTTCTGTGACTCACCCATGCCAGCCCAATCTTTAAAAGAGGCCCCTAGTGCCTTTAGATTCGGTACCCCAGCCCTCTTCCACTTCTTTACCCTTACTTGACTCCTCCTAGCTGTACCCGAGGACGACATGTACATCGTCAGCCCTTTCCCCGACTTTGACGACGCAGAAAAGGTTCAGCAGTACATCCAGGACAGACGTGTCATCGGCGTACGTCCACTGTCTAGCAAATAGGCAGCGCTATTCACATCGCTGCAGTACGATCCCCTGGTGCAGCCCGCCCTGCTCAGACACGAGATCGTGTCGACCCCAAACTCCCAAAAGACTATCGCGTCAGCGCGCTACAATGCCGCGCGCATCGTCGCCGGCCACGACGACCGCGTCCTCGTCATCGTCGGCCCGTGTTCCATCCACTCGCCCGAACAGGCCCTCGAGTATGCCAGTCTGCTCAAGGCAAAAATACCCGAATGGTCAAATCTCCTCATCATCATGCGTGCGTACTTGTAGGTCCACGAACGTGTCTCGTTGATTTTATTTACTGACACATGTTCGGTACCAGTGAGGTGATTATTATTTATTGCTAAAATGCCCTACAACTTCTGAATCCTCGCAGAAACCTCGCACGACCGTCGGATGGAAGGGTCTCATCAACGACCCGGACATTAACGGCTCGTTCAAAATTAACAAGGGCCTGCGCATCGCCCGCCAGCTTCTCTGTGATCTCACAGACATGGGCGTGCCGATTGGCTCGGAGCTGCTCGATACTATTTCCCCGCAGTACCTTGCTGACCGTGAGTTGGTACTTTCTACGATTATGTATTTATTACTCAACGGGCGCACGCAGTACATTCTTGGGGCGCCATCGGCGCACGGACGACAGAGTCCCAGCTCCATCGCGAGCTCGCCTCTGGCGTATCCTTCCCCATCGGCTTCAAAAATGGAACCGACGGCAGGTGCGTGGCATGGTCTATTTAATTAGTGTGCCTAATCGCTTGCGCAGCGTCACGGTTGCCATTGACGCTATGTTCTCGGCGGGCTCGCCGCATGCGTTCATGGGTGTCACGGAGCAGGGTGGGTCCCGCCATTCGATTTGGCGCGCTTGCTGCTAACCCACCTTGTAGGCCTCGCGTCCATCGTCAAGACGCGTGGGAACAAGGACACGCACGTCATCCTGCGCGGCGGGACACGCGGGCCCAACTACGCGAGCGAACACGTCAAGGAGGCTGCCCAGGCGATTAATAAGAAGAAGGAGTGGGCGAGCATAATGGTTGATTGCAGTCGTACGTGCCCTTCCCTTCTGTGTGTACATGAAACACGATCTGACCCGCCGCAGACGGCAACTCGCAGAAGAATCACAACAACCAGCCGCGCGTCATCGACTCGATCTGCGAGCAGCTCGCGGCGGGCGAGCGCAACATCACCGGCGTCATGATCGAGTCGAACATCAACGACGGGCGGCAGGACGTGCCGGACACGGGCGCGAAGAACCTCAAGCATGGGGTGAGCATTACGGACGCGTGTGTTAACTGGGAGACGACGGTGAAGATGATGGAGAAGCTGAATACGGTGAGTGCTCCGTTCTCCGCCTCCTGCTTGCCGCAATTACGACATGAATGCTCACTGCGCGTAATCCAGGCGGTTGGCCAACGGCGGCAGGCGCTGATAGATGCGGGTTTCAGTCGGCCCCCAGGGTTCGTGAGGGTGGACGGAGAGGCGTCGTCGTAGGTCCTAGCTTTGCATCCAACTTGTATTATCTATATGCTTTGATATATATTAATGAATGTGCTGAGTTGTAATTATACTGAAGCAAGTCGACGTCGAGCTTGGCCTCGTATTTTTATAGGAAGAATTTGTATGAGGCCTTGTGCCGGACGGACCGCGAAGCCGTCCGGCCTGGCTGAGGGCAGAGGAGTTTAGGAGATTTTACACAGGGTGGCCGCAGGTCGGTGACAGCGTTGGCGGCGAGTTGGGATTTTTAGGAAAAATATTAGTATGTTAATTAAACCTGGGCGGCGTTTATTTGGGGGGATGGATGGAAAAAGAATTCAGAATGCCGGACTTGGGGAGGGGTGAAGACCGGAGAGGGGAAAAAAGGATGCAGCAAAGAGGAAAAAATGCAAAAAGATGACAAGAGTGGGATTCGAACCCACGCCACATTACATGATGAGAAACCCTGATAGGGTAAGCTTTCGCTTGAGTCACACGCCTTGGACCGCTCGGCCATCTTGCCATGGAATACTTTTGGGTGATGGATTTCCTTCCCGCCATTTGAAGTGCTTGACTTGGTCGCAAAAAGTGAAAATGTCGGAAAAAAACACTCTATGAAAGATGGATAGTTTTTAATACTTTTTACTGAACAAGCATGACATGTTTTTTATGTAAAAATTTAAGATAGAGGGCGTGGAACCCCAGCACCCTTATGTAATCTGCTTAATAATACTTTCCCATGGTCAAATCTCAATGTTGGAGAAAAAAAATTGTTATAAAGCTGTATTTCTGTGATTTTACATGGGAAAGAAGAAGTGTCTATTTCTTAGCTAGGAACTGGGCAATGGAATCCTTTACATCTGCAATCATGCTTGGAGGCAAGATCCGATGACCTCTATAGGGCTTGTTTACCCATTTCAACTCAGCACCAGTAAGCCCACCTGCATAGGCTGAAATAAATCGTGCAGCACAATTGGCATATCTGCATAGATATATTTACCATTGGAAAACAAATCAAACTGACATACATACCAAATAATCTGAAGATGTGGAACATCATCAAGACATGCCTTGACATTATCCTCCATCTCATCAATATTTGATGTCTTGGCTGTTGTCCGATACCGGAACTTTGCTGCACCCCAATACATCTTGATAAAATTCAGTTCACAGTGGTATTTGGGATAAAAATCACAGATGTGACCCCGGGATTCGATCAGCTCCTCCAATGCAGACTTCTGGCTAACAAAATCAGGCTGCAAGAAGAGAATGCAGCGGCAGCAGCAATTGGTATTCCCAGTTTCACACTTGAAACCAGGACACTGTGCAAGAAGACCTTCTCTGTATAATCCCCGCTCTCGAAGGATTTGTTCCATTCCCTTGAACCAGCCTGGCATGGTGTGGTGGTCATCAGGGAAATAAAGATCTTGAGTCTCCCCACTCAGTAGCTTCCCATTCTGCATCCTTGGCCCATCCGGATGGTGAGTCCAACCTTCCTTTGGTTTCTTGACCATCTTACGAGCAGAAAGGGCATCTGCAGCTCGTTTCTGGTGGCTAGGAGCATTGTCAAAAAGGAAGAGGGCTACTGCAAAGCCATTGGTTTTGGCCTCAAAAATGTCAATTGCCCGATCAACCTGGATCAAGAGGTCATTTGAAGAAAACCATCCATCACGATTCTTTCCAGCCCGGAACAGCAGCCTTGCCTCTCTGTGGAAAAATAGAATCAATACCATATCACTGCACAAAGAAAGGAACTGAACTGATTTTCATGAGTCAGTCGTCCCCATTCCATTGTTAAAAATTCTGAAGCCATGATTGACTCCCCTCTCCTTTCGCCTGTGGCTTTCCAGTGGCAGATTTGTGTGACCATCCAACTTTTCGGCGGTCATTTGCATAGAATGTGGACTCATCATGAGTGACTAGAATAATTCGAAATGGTTGGCCTTTATACTTCCCCTCAAGAACATAACCTTCAGGGTTCTTGACTGGCTGCCCATCATTGTCATACACCACCATTCGTGGTTCATATTCTTCCAACCATCTCTTCACAAATGCAGCATGATAGGCTACAATATCCTCCCTCTCATGGCCATCTACATACATGCCATTCTTGCAAGGGCCAAAGCGCAGTCAAGACGTTTCAGCCAACAACGTGCAGTCCACACTGAGATATTACGCTTATGGATGCCAGCCTGCTCCAACCTTGCCTGCATCTCTGGAGAAGCAATAAAATCAACCAAGTCCTGGGCCCTGAAATGACCTTCTTTTTCTGAAACAGATTGAAGATGAAGCTTGATTTCATCTGCAAAGTCCTCACCATTGAGGATAGAGGAGTGGTACTGGCCATAGCGGTGCATTGGTAATTTTTTCGAAGTCAAGAATGCATGCAACCAGCTGCAAATGCTGTGAGCTCGATATGAGCCATGGCCTTGGGATTTTGCAACAATCATGCTGGCCTCACGCCAAGTGTATGAAAGTTCAGGATCTAGGTAAAGGTTGAGTGCACCAGCCATAGCCGTAATACGGGCTCGAAAGAAGACATCTAAAGTCTTGTCCTTGCTTTTGACATTTAGAGCTGCTACTGCACAACAAAGTGCTGGGAAATGGGTATGATTCAGTTGATCCAAGACTCGATCAGCTGCACTCTTTGGACTAGGATCTTCAATTTCCTCCAGCAGCTCACGCAACTTGACATGAGCAAGGTTAACAGGGTCCATGCAGTCTGCAGGTAGAGTTGATGTCTAATAAAATCTTTAGATCTCACATGTGAAACAAGACATGTAGCCTACCCTGATGCTATCTGTAATATCTGGTTCCTCTGTGTCCTGCAATTTCTCCAGTTCTTGGAACTCATTTTCCCCATCAGATTCTGCACTGCTGACCGCAGCATCTGGTTCTTTGGTAACCTTCTGTCCCTTGATGTAATCAAAGACATTCAAGTAGCCCTTCTCCTTCATGTCTTTTGCAATCTTTCGCTGACGATAGAGTGTCGAAGCAGATTTTTTGGTGTAATGTTTGGGGCGGTTTGAACTGTTTTCAAGGTCCTGAATGTGAGCCGCTTTTTGGGCATCACTCAAAAGAGTGGCAAATTTCTGGAGTTCGGTTTCATCAGAGATCTCAGGTGCCTCCACGACTTCATCATCCAGTTCTAGCGAAAGATCACCCAAAGCAGATTCCTCGCAATCCATATCTGGAAGCTCATTCCCCAAGTTCAAATCCCATGTCTCTTCAGTATCTGGGTCAGAGTGGGAGTGGTCATCACAGTGAGTGGCAGCAGCTGGGAAAGAGGTGCTTGATCCAATGTCTGAGGTCTGATTCTGGCCATCTTCATTGGGAACCTCCTCCACAGTGACTGTTTTCTGAGAGTCTCGGGCCTTCTGGAGGTTATTTTGCCGGGCCTTTTTATGGTTAGTACCTCTAGGCATGGTTACAGAGCAGAAGGATGTGGAGGAAGTGAAGAGAAAGTGAAAGCCTCATTGCAGCCTCAAGGCAGCCGCATTCATTGGTGGCTGTACACGATTAGTAATCCATCAATCCATCAATCCATCATCCGGCCGGTGCCTGCCGAGGTGGCTGTGCCAGTCAAATTTCGGAACACTTTTCTTGAAAAGTGTTCCTTTTGATAAGAAAAGCATATAGAAACACTTTGAAAAAAAGTCACATAAATTTTTTTAGGCCTTTATAACTCTTCACCAAGAAACCTTTTAGGGGATCTGCTCAATAGAAACCCCTTGTATCCTTTCTATCTTACACTTGTATTGGACAAAATATGCCTAACTAATTTTGGTACTGAGTTATTTCGCTCGTCGTTGTGTGTGACATTGTGATGTGTGACTGCTGACATAAGGGTGCCGGGGTTCCACACCCTCTATCTTAGGAACATTTTATTTGACTCCATATATTTTGTGGGGTTTGTCTTTGATGGACACTTTACACATTTCCCATCCTGGATTCAAGATCAAACCACCATTCATGGCAGGAACTACAAGTCTCCATTTTGACTTTCATCCATTCATCCCGGACTTTTGACATCAGAGCCCTATCTGCTGCAGCTCCACCAAAGGATCCAAGGGAGGGTTATCTGGTTTGGCATTTGGTTCAGGAGGTGGAGGGGCTGGATAGTTCAACTGCTGCTCAATCTGTTGTTGAATCTGAGCCAGTCATGCAGCCTCTGCTTGAGCCGCTGCGGCTGCATCATGCAGTCTCTGCCTCTTCTGGTGACAAGGTGTGCAAGTTGCCAAATCTCCGAATATAGTTTGGCTAACATAATGACTGCCAGTAGTACACCACAGTAGGAGTTGGAGATTGTGGTGGTACAGAACCGAAAACGTCAGATCCAGGCTGGATAGTACCATCATCTGGTGCTTGTTGAAAAAGCCTTTGTGGTTCGAATTGAAACTCTGGCCCACTCAAGACAGAGCTTCTGGAAGGAGTGGGTGATGAAGGACTAGAGCCCAGTGGAATCCGACTGCGCTTGCTACAATGCTCACGAGAGTGGGGTGTATGAGGGGTTAATTCACCAAGTGGTCGTGTCATGAATTGTGCTGGGAAACTCATTAGAACATATGCAGAAATTGCGGCAGCTAAACTCACTCCGAAGACATGGAGACTCCCGAACAATCCGGTTGTCAATATTTTGCAAAGGCAAATTCTCTGGAGGAGTTGGAGGTCCTGACATGTGAGGTCGTGCAGCTCTGCGGGGAGTATTTCTAATAGCTGCATATGGCCGCACTGCATTTCTATCCAGTACTTCACATGGAATGCTCTGGTCAATTGACCATCTGGGTGGTTCCTGAGGAACTGCAGATGGTAAATTGGAGAAATCAGGTTTGCAAGATTGCCCAGACTTACCACCACCCCTCTCAGATTGGGGGAAATAGTAATTGTTTTGCTGGGTTGGGATAGTTTGGGACGGTGATTGGGGCTGAATCCGTGAGGGTCCAGCAACAGGATTATCCCAGTTCCAGGCATTCTGCTGAAGAAATGTTGCCCTTTGTTGTTGAGCCTTTTTTACGTGCCATTCTGGCTGCATAGACAACAGGATCATATCCAGGCATTGTTTACTGTTTCGTCAATTAGTATACATTTGGGACAATCATCTGAAATTATTTACAGAAATAGTTCCGATTGCTAGGAGAGAATTATTGCCAAAGAATTGTTGCCAAGAGAGCCCCCAGATAGTCCAGATTCATGCAGTATGTCCAGACAAGGTTGCCCCCGTGTTCCCTTTAATTTTTTTTCAAAGTTTTTCACTGAAGAATATTGCTGCAAGACAGTGCCCGATTTTGCTTATTGACGTTCTCTTGTCACCCCTTTTCTGCAAGGCAGGTGGAAGTGACAATTTTGACATAGTTAAAACTTAAGCCACAGGCACCGCGTGTGAGAGAGGTCCGACAATAAATTGTCTTTTGTGTCAGAGGCAGACAACAGCCCTGGGGTGGACTTCACACTCCAGTAAACCAGAATATATGATAGGCTATCTGGCAGTTTCCAACAGCAATCAAAATATCCAGAGCAAGCCTA